CCCCAAAACCCCAAAACCCCAAAACCCCAAGGTGATAGATTTAAAATGTTTTGTAAAGTAAAAATAATGATTTACAACCTCTAGTGATGGAAAGATCAGAATTAAATACAATTAATTCAATAGTCAATCAAGGTCTACATTCTAATTTACTTCTTTTATTTATTTTTAATCTTAAGTTACATTATTATTAGAAGATTAGATTTTTTGTACTGTCAATTTAGTATTCATATCAGGGTAATACATCTATTGCTAGTAAATTGGCACTATCAAATACTATGGTTGCATTCTATAATTGATCTGCTAGGCTTAGTGATATGGCTACATTAATGACTGTGTTGTTATTGTATTCTGATTTTGTAATTATTATTATTACTACTATTCAACTTTATTTATTACTTAAATTCTTTATTAGTTTTACTGCTAAAGTAAATACTAATGCTATTGATATTGATGCAACTATGGGTTAATCCTCTACTCCAAAATACTTCTTTAACTCTATTAGTATTATAGCTGTTGCTACTAGTCTGCCTGGATACTAATATTATGCTTAATTTATGGCTTAACTGTCAATAATGATTGTTAATTAAGACTTTTATCGAGATCCAATTTCGAAACTTCTTCACCTTTTTTATCCTCTTCGAAGTTCTATTATTCACTAATTTTTCTTCCACTAATCTCTTTCTTGGTCTGATCAGAGGTAAATTGTAACTGAAATCTTGGTGATTTAAACAACTAGTAATTGTTATTTTATATCGGTATATAAAGTGGTGATGTCATTTAATTTCCATCTCCAAACTAATAAATGATCTGTTGGGACGGGCTTTATTCAACGATTACATGCTGATGCTGGTGCTTAGCCTAATATCCTTGCTAAGGAGTCTAGAATTACGGCAATTTTGAGTAGCTTATTGGTGTCAAGTTAGGTATACCTATCTTCTAAGGTGTCCTAAGCTCCTGATTAAATGACTTAGGTTCAATTTTAAACTGTTACTTAGTTGAAGGGTTTATTGAGATAATTTTAGGATTAAAAATTTTATGTTCTAAATTTTAATCACCAAAGCTCAATTTTCGTTGTTAGCTCTCACTTGTTTATTCTAATTTTAAATTTTATTTTTATTCGCTTATTATTTTCATGAAGAGTTCTTAATCTTGCTAAATATTTTCTTGTAAAGAAGGTTTCCCTTGAAAATCGTATTAAACATACTTTTATCCCTATTGGGGAGAATCTTTTATAAAGTTTTCCATCTGTATTTATATTTTGTTCATTCTCAGGTCTATGGATTTATTATAATCTCTCATTTTTTGAGTTTGCTTGATATGACGCTTACCTTCAATTCTGTCTTCATTTAGTTGTTATTTTTCAAGGGATTTGAATTAAGAAAATTGCTCATCAATACCGACGATACTTGTCTGTTGATCAGGAGTTTTGTTCTCTGAAGATGATTATAAAGGGTACTATTTGTCAGATATTGTTTCATCAGTCAGAAACTTTTTCCGTTTAAGACTGGGTGCCAGATTGTATTCCTTGATCGATGTCAGTTGTTTCTTAATTTGCTCTGGGTGATCGTTAAGATCTTCATAGTTAAGTCTCTTCTTTCTTTGAAGTCTCTGTGATCTTCTACTGGATAATAATAAGAATGCGGATGAGGCTTACTTTAATCTTTCAGATGATTATTCCATTTCAGGATTCTCTATATCAGAATCTTTTTTTATTTATGCCTCGTAATTGCTTTCTATTTCTTAGTCTCCCTTTTCAATTTTTCTGTTTTGATCCTCATCGTGGTTGAATATAAGCTTCATTGTATATTCTAAATCTTGAAATCGCTTTGGCTCTAGATCCTTGATTTGGTCATAGTTTAATTAGTGTTCCTTGACTAATTAATACAAGTGTTCAGCCGTAAGATTCTTTACTTTGATTCCTAGCTTCCTTGCTATAATTTACGTAATTAATTCCATTTCAATTTCGGTTAAATAGTAACTTACCAATCTAACACTACTTTAAACTTTTATTTATTCATCGAAGATGCTTTCTAAGTGTTGAATAATAGTAGTTCTTAATACTGTTATCGGATCTATTAAAAATTGTGTTATGGTATGATGCAATGATGAAAATAGTTGGAGAAAGAATCATGAATTTCGTAGAAGAAACAAATTACTCAATTTTGTAACTTACCTTCCGGGCATAAGTTTCGCAATGTCTGCCCATTTGTTTCCGTACATTTTGTGTGATTCAAAGATTAATCTTTCCTCCTCAGGCGTTATAGGATCTTTTTTAATCTCAGGATCTAGATGATTGTGCCATCTATATTTATAGGATTACATGATAATCACTGTTGTAACTTACCTCTCCCTGCATTGTTTGCCAGTTCGCCCACCAATACTAAACTCGTCTTTTAATTTCTGTGCAATAAATGTCCATCTTTTAGTTCCATACTTGTCTACTAACTACTCAATGGCTTCATCTTCCTTTAAAAATTTAATGTATTGAAAATACTGATTGAGACCAGAGTTTTCTCGATGATGCTTTGCATTTTCATTGTAAAAGACCCTGATTTTCATCATTTTCGCTTATATTTTCTGAAATTAAGATAAGATTGAAGAGAATGGTGTCAAATTAGTACCAGATTTTTCGTTGAGTGAGGATTTTGAATCTTTATCATTATCAACAGAATCCGGAAACGGCGTTACATTTTCTGGTTAGTTTTCCTCGTGATTTTTTATTATTCTTTTATTCTCTTTTTTAGGTCCTTGCATTAGCTCTTGATTTTTTTAATTACGATATTATATTAAGAATACGTATTAATGATGTTATTTTTTTTAACAAAAGTTTTTATCACGGGGTTTTGGGGTTTTGGGGTTTTGGGGTTTTGGGG